AAGGAGATGGTATCCCATCTATATTTAGATATTAGTGTCGAAATATTTATTACTAATTTTTACCCGCGGCTTCGTCCGCGTGACCGGCATATGTTGATTGATTAGAATTGATAGTAGACCATGTTCTTCTGCATCCCAAATAGTACAGTTTTTAACAATTTTTTTTTAAATTTATTGTGCCAATCGATAGATAGGATTTTGCTACACGTTGGTTCCATATTCGAAGTTTGTCCAATTTTGACAGGAGTGCAGCCGCCATCTTTGGCTAAGAACAAAATTGTTTACAGAAATATCTGCAGACTTTCAATTTCACGATTTAAGTTAAAATAATTTCATTCGTTATATTTAAAGTAACTTAAAAAAAAAATATTTTGTAACCACAAAACTTTCTAGTTAATAATCACGATTAAATTCTCCAGAGAGGTTGAGGGGAGGGGGGGAATGCAAAATGTACTTCATATGCTTTATTATTACCATATAGAAAATAGAGAAAAAGTGACGACTTCTTAAAGTGAAGACTTAACCGACTTCGAAAAAAAAGGTGTTTCTAAATTCGATTATATGTTTTTAATGTTTTGGAAAATGCTTTTTTATCTGAAACCATATACTTATAGATTGGTCTTATAGAAATTTTATCAAAATCGTTCCAGTAATATAATTTTGTAATCAAAATAACTGGTTTTACAATAATTGAAGTCGATTTTTTTTATATGTGAAACATAGTCTTAATTATTTAATATATAAGTAAATATAATTCCGAAAAATATTGCCTTCGAAAACTGAAATCACGGCCACATCTAATGGCCTAAGTATCTTGTTTACACCGCGATACGATTTCCTCCACAAGAGGTCGCAGTTGAGCAAAGTAATTTATCTTTAAACGCATTGTTTATAGCTGTAGTTCTGTTTTCCCTATGCTCTCGTATTTATGTGTTGTTTACCACGACAAGTTTTTAGGGTTCCAAGTTCCTTAACAACTTACCGTTACATATTGATAGATAGATAGATAGATAAACACTTTATTTGAGCCATTTGTGGCACACGTAAATTAATAAATGAGTTTATACAATCAAATTATATACACTTTTTTAAATATAAAACCAAAGATAAAATATGAAATATGTTTTCGCCATGTGTGTATGACCCAAATATATATTGGAACGTACGAATGTTTCAAAGTATATCTATCACATATAGAACTGTAATATATATATAAGTCACTAAATTATTTATAATGACTTGGCAAGTTCACAGCATCATTATTATAAAAAAATAACCTGATACAATTTTTTTTTTTTATACAACTTAGAATGGCAAACAAGCTGACGGCCCACCTGATGGAAAGTGGTAACCGTCGCCTATAGACATGAGCAGTACCATGAACATAACAGAGTATACTGTTTCGCCCATGATACCCCTCATGCGTTGCCATTCCTGAGGACTCAGGTGTTATTCCTCTGTACCCAGTAAATTTACGCCATATCCCACCCTTCAAACTGAAACACAGCCATGCAAACACAACTGCTTCACGGTTGAAACACGAATGAGACAGAGGTACCCAAGCAATCGACTTTTGTACAAAGTCTCCCTCTGGTAAGCTTGTGGTGTAATAGCCAGCATAGACTAGGTCACCCCTTTCTTTCCCGTGTGTATCGTAAGAGGCGACTAAGGAAACTTAATATATAAATAGTCGACGGATGGGCAGCAATGTTCTTCTTAAAACTTCACCAAAACCTAACTGCGTTTGCCAACCTGCCTGCTAGACGTGGCGAGTACTAGCAATACCCTCCTAGGGGGAGACTTATGCTCAACAGTGGACAGTTAAAATCTGATATGATGATGATGATAGATACTAATTGAAATAAATGACTTGATTTTACATGAGATCGCACAACTTTACAACGAAAGAGCTGAGTTGCGAGACTTGGCACTTTTTTACATTTATTGTTTTTGAAGGGTTATTTTGTTATAATTTTAGTCATTGTTTTCTAGGGAACAAAGTCTAATTTTGCATTTAAAATTACCTTTATTCAAGTCATGAAAACTCGAGTATATACCTAGTTACACATACTCTGCACCTAGCCAGGACTCGATACTGGAGTCAAGCACGTAACGTTCAAAAACTTGTGCAAAAAGCTCGCTGTTCACTACTAGATAGATACGATTATATTGATAAGCGGAAGCGGTTTTATATTTTTAACTAAATTTTAAAAGAAGAAGCTTCTCAATTCGGTTGTGTTTTTTTTTAATGTTTGTTGCCTCATAACTCCGTCAGTTCTAAACCGATTTGGAAAATTCTGTTTTTTATTTGAAAAGATATACTTACACATTAACTTTAAAGAAATTTTATTAAAATCGGTGCAGTAATTTAGTTTTTAAATCAAAATAATTTAATTATGCCACAATTGAAGTCGGTTTTATTTGTGAAACACGATTTATATTATTTTAGAACGAAATCTTAAATTATTGCTCTATTGAATCTAGAATTTATTTCTCTCAAATTCTCATTAAAATTCAATATGACTTACGACAGTTATTTTTAACAATAATAATAACAATACTGAAACTATAATACTATATATAATACATTAACCATATAAAAATGATATCAAAATCGGTTCAGTAATTTAGTTTTTTAAATCATAATAACTGATTTAACCACAGTTGAAGTAATTTTTTTTTTATGTAAAACAGTTTATATTATTGTGGAACTAAATCTTTAATTAATACAAATTTTAGAATTTATAATTCCCACCAAAATTCAATATGACTCACGATAGTTATTTCTAACAATAATAATATTTAAACTATTATCCTATTAATATAGTAAAAGCGACCCTAATTTAGCACATAAGATACTTTATATATACTTTTTTATTCACGCGGATGAAACCACGGGATACTGCTAGTATTTTATATTTTAAATTTCAACAATACTTTTGAATACACGATATTTTTATTTCACACAAAATCCGCTGCTCGCTTCCGCGTATGCCACCATATCCTCTCCCTATCGCCGTAAGAGGCTAAAGCTTTGTTGCAAAAGGCTGCACGCCTTTGATACAAGTTGGACATTGTTCGTGGAGTGGCGCGTCACTAGTGGACGAATTAGTGATGTACCATGTTGGTTTTTGTTATTATTATTTCAGCCCTTAACTGTGTACTTATAGGGAATTTTGCCAGTAGTTGCTACGTTTGGCAGGCGGATTGACAACCGCAGTTAAGTTTTTACACATGTATTAAGAGGGACGTTGCTGCCCATCCCTCCACGTCCACGGGAAAGAAAGGGGTGACCCATTTTAGGCCGGGACCGACATGGCGACATGTTGGTTTTAGATCATTAATTAATTTTTAAAATAAAAGCAATGCAATACACCTAAGAAATAATAATTATTATACTTTATGTATTATGTGTAGGGTAGATTATATATTCATTATATATATATATATATATATATATATATATATATATATATATATATATATATATATATATATATATATATATATATATATATATATATATATATATATATATAAAAAAAAAAAAAACATATACAAAGTTCAAACATTTAAAATTGAACCACTTTGAATACCGGTACGTACCTAAATCGAATAACGCAAAAAAAAAGAAAATCAAAACGAGCAAACACGAAGGCGCTGGGCGCGAAATAAAAACGCGCGTAAAACTTTTTCACCGGCAACGCAAACGGCCGTCCCGTACCTTTATAATATTCATAGCTGGAGTTTTTCCACATTCACCCCGGTTTCACTCGCATAACGTATACGAATTGCCTTCATTTTCCTTATTTGCTTATAATTTTAACGAAAAATACCATTGCAATTTTAATAAGAATATTTAACTTTGACGTTAAGTTTTAGTTACTTAAACTGGCTAAAATTAAAGTCTTATAAAATAATAACTTTTTTTTTAATGTATGAAAATAGAATGGTAACCCCGTCTATGCTATTGATATACGCTGGAGGGACCAATGATAGATGACAGATGAAGATGAAGGCCCATCGAGACAAATTCGACAAAAATTTACCATGATGGTTTCCAGGAAGAACCGTGTGGAAATCGACCTCACAGGATATATTGTTAGAAATGAGGTTATTAGAGCCTATTACTAACAATCTCTTTCCCTCCAAATAAAACCTTTAAATTATTAATTTTTTTATTTACATTGTTTTTTCATCTCGGATTTTGTTAAAATTTGTTGTAAAAAATATGTCGAAGTAGGTACGTACCTACTTCGACATATTTTTTCTTCTTCGACAGGGATATTTAGTACGTACTAAATATCCCTGTAAGAAATAATAGGGATATTTTAAAATTAGATACATTTAAAAAAATATATAAGAACCGGTGGATAAATCAATTAAAAGATTATATAAAACAAGAAAGTTTATAATATTTATAATATCTATCTTCAGCACTTAATTTATAAATATTTTTAATCAATTTTCTTTTTGAAGTTCTAATCCACACTTTTTCATAAAACAAAAACGTAAACTCGAGAGACGAAGGCAAGATAATACACAGCCTATGCATAATTTATTTATGACTCAGTATTTTTTCTGTTAACATTTTTATTAAAAAAATGTTAATGTCGATAAAAGAAGATGATAAAATCTTTATTAAATTACAATATTATGGTGTTTTGCATATCTGTATATATATAGTATACCTACTTAACCATCAGTCAATATAACACAAAACTGGTGTTTCAAGTGTCTATTATTTAAAAGATCACTTATTTGGAAAGCTTTTCAAGTTATTTTCGACATCATAAAATCGTAACACGTGGCCCACAACAAAAACGCGCCAATTCACATTTCTCATTTTGTGCAATGATTGTAAGTAAACCAAATGCGTGCCATGTGGTCATTCTCCAGCATACCAGGCTCGATCCGCTAACTTCATTCTTATCCATCGCCCCTCTCTTTCACACTTACTGATTTGTCATTCAAATGTCTCTTGACCTTTCTCTCTAACTCACGCGCGCGCCAGTCCACGACCGCGCTTCCAGTGTGGTGTACTTATTTGACGCTCCTCTGATTCGCGTGATAACTTTCGTGTAAAAGTGGCATTAATACTTTTTTCGTGTTTTTGCGAAAGTGTTGCTGTGCTTGTCGGAGTGTGAAAACAGTTACTGTGTGATTTTCAATACATTTTGTTTATTATATGTTCAGTTAAAGTGTATTTTGGAATGTTGCAAACAGCTCAGGTAGTGTGGTGCGAAACCTGAGGTTTTGTTAATACGATCTGAGCGAATTCTATTACAGTTGGTAACTATATTTTTTCTTATCATTATTGTTTGTAGGTAGGTATTAGAATTATTGCGGTTTGGCCTCTAGCTTTGATAGACTGTTTTTTGTTATCTATTATTAAATTTTACTAGTCATGTGCAACGATTACTATTGTGATTTACTCAAAAAGTATATATAAATAAATATACTAAAGAATATTTATCAACGTCTGTAGTACTTCTAAAATAACAATAGACTCTGGACAACAATAACTTTGTAATTTTACACACTTGTTTAAATAGTTATAACTTGGTATTATTTAATTGAATCAAACAAAAAAATCACCTTGACTTAAAATTTAAGAGTAGCTAACATAAAATTTTCTCATAGGACGATAAATTATTCAACCTTGTATGGAGGTAGTTGAGTAACAATCAATTTCTGCTAGAAATCATGCAAGTGTCCATTCACGGAACTAATAAACGATAGCAAGTACACTTTATCTTGATGATTTCACATCATTTTTTCTTTTGATGGATGATAATGGAATGGTAACCCCGCCTGCGCTATCGATATACACTAGCGGGGCACCAGTGAGAGACGATTGGTGAGGATGAAAAGGCAGGTCAGTTAGCCCATCTTGAAGAATTCAACAATAAATTAGTCACGATGGTTTCCAGGGGGAACCGCGTGGAGTTCGACCTGATAAGGTATATTGATAGCAATGGGAACTAACCTCCCCATTACTAACAATTCCTTCCCCCCGATTTCACATGTTTGCGTGTAATTACCTTATCACTAAGTATGCTAGTGAGAAAAACTCATACATACAAAGATAATTTTAGTTAAGTTGTTAATTACTTAAGTTATTACCTCTACTGTAAAATATAGTAAGATGGTTTTCGTACTTTCTGGTCCTTTTTTATCTATGCAGTTATGTTATTATTGAGAGTCAGGCTTTTAAGGCAGAAATACCAGTGACACAGCGATCTTTCTATGATCTTTTGTGCTCGCCCTTTAATGCATTTATAATAGTACAAATAAAATTGTTTACGTAACTTATTGGACGTAGAATTATAATATTCAAGACAGACTATCAATACGAGTATCATACACAGTATATATACAGTGTTTAGATATATTATATCAGAATTTATATTGACACCTTGACATTAGATAAGAGAAAAATGAAGCAACTTTTTTTTTTATTATTTGCCACTGGTAAATTTCCATTTTTTTTTTAATGGATGATAATGGAATGGTAACCCCACCCGCGTTATCGGTATACATCGGCGGGGCACCAGTGAAGGATGATGGGTGAGGATGAAACAGGTCAGTTAGCCCATCGTGACGAATTCAACAAGGATTGTTCACGATGGTTTCCAGGGTGAACCACGTGGAGGTCGACCTGATAAAATATATTGCTAGCGATGGGGCTGTCAAACTCCATTGCTAACAATCCATTTCCCCCCATGTATATTTCCATTTGTTAAACACTTATAACGTCACACTAAAACCGGTTTGTAAGGATTTCTTTTCTTTTTACTGCAAAGTGGTACAGAAGCGTGACAAGTTTGTCACGATTTTGTTTCTTTTACTGTCTCCGAGCTATGTTACACTCCACAGATGACCAATCACGGTAAATGCGCACGTAATAGGTACTTGATTTTCAAACTTATGTTCGAAATAAAGATCATTAAACTAGAATCGATAAATTACCACATAATTTTTTTTGTGCAACTTAAAATGTCAAAACAAGCTGACGGTCCACCTGATGGATAGTGGTAACCGTCGCCTATAGATATGAATAGTACTATGAACATAATAGACTGTTTCACTTATGATACTCCCCCATGCGTTGCCATTCCTGAGGACTCAGGTGTTATTCCTCTGTACCCAGTAAATTCACGCCATATCCCACCCTTCAAACCGAAACACAGGCATGCAAACACAACTGCTTCACGGTTGAAACACGAATGGGACAGAGGTACCCAAGCAATCGACTTTTGTACAAAGTTTTCCTCTGGTGAAACACCGGTTTTACCCCCATACGTTGCCATTCCTGAGGACTCAGATGTTTTTCCTCTGTACCCTGTAAATTCACGGCATATCCCACCCTTCAAACCGAAACACAGGCATGCAAACACAACTGCTTCGCGGTGGAAACACGAATGGGACAGAGGTACCCAAGCAATCGACTTTTATACAATTTTATAAAATCCTGTTTTATTGCTACTTGCGCGACTAAACAATATCGTATTACTTGACCACAAAGGTTTGTGGTTACAAATGAATATAGAAAATGAAATATATTATATATCATAACAATATATATATATAAAACTTTTTATATTATTATAGACAGACCAGAGGGTCAACCAAACACGAATGGGACAGAGGTACCCAAGCAATCGACTTTGTACAAATGTCGATTGCTTGGGTACCTCTGTCCCATTCCTGTTTCTACCGTGAAGCAGTTGTTTGCATGGCTGTGTTTCGCTTTGAAGGGTGGGATATGGCGTGAATTTACAGGGTACAGAGGAATTACACCTGAGCCTTCAGGAATGGCAACGCATGGGAGGTATCATGGGCGAAACAGTATACTCTGTTATGTTCATGGTACTGCTCATGTCTATAGGCGATGGTTACCACTTTCCATCAGGTGGACCGTCAGTGTGTTTGCCATTCTAAGTTGCATAAAAAAAAATAGAATGCGCTACCTTTGCCATGAATGTCGTAAGAGGCGACTAAGGGAAATTATAGTTGAGGAATATGCAGCACCGTCTCTCTTAGAACGTTACCAGAGATTTAACTGCGGTTGCCAAGTGTGGTATCTACTGGCAAAACCCCTCAACAGTAGACACCATAAGGAAACAGCCCCCAGTCCCTGGTAGCCCAGAACTGTTCCATGTTCAACGGTGGACAGTTAACGTCTGAGATGATGATGATGTTGAGCTATTTTAAATCATTTAAAAATATAGAATACTAGCTTTGCGCCACGTCTACGTGTCACCAGAATATATTGATTGGCCGGATAAATAGTTGTCTGTCTACATTTCAAATATGCATTACCTGTATACCAAATTTAATGATGAATTATAGACACATTAATGCGCCATGAAGTAACAAACGAACACATTTTCATATTTATAATAGATGTATGAATATTATCTTTCAAATATATATATATATATATATATGTTTTGCACTACTACTGCCCACTCACTACTTACTATTTGCTATTTTATAAGCCTTTGTTAACATTGTTATTTATTATTATTACTTATTAGAAAGAATAAAACTCCATTCATTGTAGATTCTAAAGAAACAGTATTAAGTACCTGTTCTACTCACACATGTAACTGAATACATAGATACATGCACACATGCATACACAGATGCAAAACTAAGATGCAGTGTAATATTTTTTTCTAAGATTCAATAATTCTTAGAATGAATATATGACAAGTGTTGATCGGATTTCAAAGAATGACCTATCAAACATTCATTCTTAGAACTGAACAATTTCATTGCCACCCAAAACCTGTAACATGTTCTTAAATTATAACACATATTTTAAATTCCTTGCTTAAATATTAATCATTCATTTTGCCAGTAGTTGCCACGTTTGGCAGGCGGATCGGCAATCGCAGTTAAGGTTTTTTTAATGGGTGATAATGGTATGGTAACCCCACCTGCGGGGCACCAGTGAGAGATGACCGATGAGGATGAAAGCAGGTCAGTTAGCCCATCCTGATGAATTCAACTAGAATTATTCACGATGGTTTCCAGGGGGAACCACGTGGAGGTCGACCTGATAGGGTATATTGCTAGAAAAGGACCTTTTTTTAATGGGTGATAATGAAATGGTCACCCCGCCTGCGCTAACGGTATACGCAGGCGGGGCACCAGTGAGGGATGATAGGTGACGATGAAAGCAGGTAAATTAGCCCATTCTGACGAATTCAACTAGAATTAACCACGATGGTTTCCAGGGGAGCCACGTGGAGTAATGGTCGACCTGATATTGCTAGAAAAGGACTGGTAGCCAGCATTACTAACAAGCCCCCCCCCCCCTTCTTAAATAGTAGGTATATGTTCACTTAAGTAACATAGAGAACTAAAATAGTTAACCTGAGTATTGAATTAACGTCAAGTTGCTAATTGACTAGTTATCTAGTTGAGTACTTTGACTAACTTGAAACCTTAATGCGTCTTGCCTTAAGGTTTAAATTCCTCAAAATTGGACGCACACTGCAAATGTTAGGCTTTCTTTTAATATTATGGTTTTAAAGCCAATTGTCTACAACGTGGACATTTTTTATATATTACTTTTATTTATAATTTAAATTTTATTCTTCTTTCTTTACATTTGTCACTTCTCTTCTATGTTTTACACTACTTCTGTATCTTTGTTGCTATTTTTTTTATACAACTTAGAATGGCAAACAAGCTGACGGCCTACCTGATGGAACGTGGTAACGGATGGGTGGTGGTGGTGGTGGGTTTATCTTACTACGCAGTCAGAAACTTAAAAAATACTAATTAATTTAATATAATATTACGGAGCTAATGTTACTAAGATGACAGCGCCTCTCTCGTGAAATAATTCCTTACTAACATTATAAATGTGAAAGCGAGTTTGTTTGTTACCTTATAGCTCCTTAACGGCTTAACCAATCACTATGAAAATTGATATACGACGCGGACAAAGTCGCGGGTGAAAAGTAGTACATGTATATCTATATCTATACTTATAATAAATCTGTAGAGAGGTCAATTCTGTACATGAAATATATTTCCAAAATTACTATCAGGGGGTGATTAGTGATCGATACTGATGCCAAAAATGCAATCAGTAAAATTTTTGTCTGTCTGTCTGTATGTTCGTTAAAGAAACAAAAACTACTCGACGAATTTTAACGAAACTTGGTATAATTACTCTTCATACTCCTGGGCACGTTATAGTATACTTTTCATCACGCTACGATCAATAGGAGCAGAGCAGTGAAGGGGAATGTTAAAAATGTCCACTCGTG